GACCTCAGAATAAAAGATTCAATAGAGTTCTAATAAAGATAGAGTGTAGAAACTTTTTATTCCAAAGCTAAAAGACTTCTCTAAGTAATATATAAATATGTATTTGATAATTTTTACTTTTCTGGCTGTTATATATAACAGAGAGAAAGTGTAGCGCTCGCTCAAAAAATGACCCCTCCCAAATTTTTACATTTTTGGGCTCAGGACACCTTGAAATTTCGAGATATGCAAAAGATTTGAGGTTTTTTCTATATGTGTGGATGTTAGACTGTGTGGGAGGGCATGATTTTATTCACCCTGTTTGAAGCCTAATAATTTCTGTGGTCACAGTGATCAGAATTGGAGTCAAATGGTTTAACACAGGAGTTAGTTATTTAAGTCAAAGTGGTTGAACTAAATCATGTCCCCATATACATTTTAACATCTTAGGTGAGAACATCTAAATGGGTTTTACTGTACTATTATAAAATGGCTAAAAAGCTTACTTTGAGGGTAAAGACGACTTTTATTTTTTTTAAATTTTGAATGCTAATAACGAGTAAAATATTCATTAAGAGATATGACACATGACCACTTTTAGGTCTTCACCCTATCGACCTTTAATTAAGAACCAAAATTTAATAGTATTAATGCCCCTTTATACGCAAACTACATTGTCACATTTCATTTCTTAAACTTTACCCATTCTGAGATATTGTTTAATATCTCAGAACAGAAAATAAAGAAATTAAACAAATTAGATGCCAACACACACATGCGCGCGAATTTTTCCCCTTTACTGACTTTTTTGAGAGGTTCGGGAGGTCTCCAAAGGTGTAGATTTGCAAAAAAAAAAAAAATAATAAAAAACTTGGAGGGTCAAATTTGACACGATTCCAATACTTTTCCATTTTATATACATAACAAGTTGGTAAGTAAAAAGGAGTCAGAGTCGGCGGATTTTTTGACAACTCCGACTCCACAGCCCTGACCAAAACCCAATAAAAAAAATGCTTCTTTGCTTTATGTATATTGCATAGTAAATTACAGTAGGTGATCGGTTAATGAACATAATCCGTTCCAAGACTTCAAAAAATAAATATATACTTTACTATGTTTATTTATATGTAATAGTAAAAATACATATATGTGCAGTCTTGCATTTTTATTAGTCATGTTTTTTCTGTTTGTGGGGGTTAAAGAATCTGTCCAATGTCGATTGCTTTTCTCTTTTCTTTNATATATGTGCAGTCTTGCATTTTTATTAGTCATGTTTTTTCTGTTTGTGGGGGTTAAAGAATCTGTCCAATGTCGATTGCTTTTCTCTTTTCTTTAGGATTTTTCTGAAGTAATTAATAGTATTGTAATTGTATAGATCCCAACCCCATTAACTTTATTTTGGTTTGGATGCCACTTGGATGATCGTTGTTCTAACATCCTCCCACTTCAAAAAATCTTTAGTAGCAGATGTTGACATTGGTCCTCTTTCGTATTCCTCTTTTTCAAAAGGAAACTCACTGAGTTTTTTGTTTTTCTTCATTTGAGAGTGCTTGGAGTTCTTCTGTCATCAGATTAGTTTCAGGTTCCATTATGAGCTCTAAAATGCTCTTTATTTCTCAGATGTGATTTTCATTACTCCATTAGCAGCTTGAGACTTCTTGATATATCTTTCATAGCTAAGATTGTGCCTATTATAGACTTGTTTAAGCCATACTGCTTAGCAACATCAGACAGCTTGTGCCCACATTCTACCTTGGCTATTATCTCTTACTTGGTTTCTACGGTGAGCACAGTTCTTGACATTTCTCTTTTTAGGCTCCATAATATTATCAGTTTCTTTTTTAAATAAAAAGTTCAGAAAAGCACTTACAAAAATTCAGAGAACAGAAATCAACTAGCCCACAAAAAATTATTTAAATGCAAGGCTCAGATGAAATTCGAAATTTGGTACTAAAATGTTAACGAATATCTGAAGGGGCAGTTAAACTTTCACCTTTAGTAAATAAACCCAGACACAAAACTTAACAAGTGTCTGTCTGACACTTGTTAAGTTTTGAGTCTCGCGAATACTATAAAAAATTATTTGTCAGAAAGGTAAACAAAAAGCTGGAATTACAAGGGAGAGTTTCAAAATTCGGAGGAATATTAATACTATCCGATCAGTATCTGGTTGAGCATCAATGTTAACATCTTCCGCGCTCCGAAAGGTTTCGAATTGTTACCCGAAGACAAGGGAAAATCAATCGGTATTCATTATTTTCCGTCGCTTCATTTTATGTTTGTTCAGTAAAGTGTTCGTTATCTGATCATAAAAATCTTTCGCGAAAGTGTTCGTTATCCGATTTGTTCATTAACCAAACTGTTCGTTAACCAATCACCCACTGTATTTAAATAGATATTACATCATTGATTTTCATTAATATCTCTAGTGATAATCATATGATAGGACAAGATTAAATATCACACTAATTAAGCTTTATCATTTGATTGCTAGTATAATTCATGCTTGTCTATATTTGTAGTGAATTGTTATTACAGTTGATGCTCAATAAACCAAGCTTAAGTCAAACAACTAAGTCAAATTTTATTTTTATCTGAGTATGACTACCATATTTTGTCTATTTGTAACTCAAAGCATTAAATTAAATACGTATGTCACTAAATTGACGAGCGCTTTCGACGATACACACTTTCGTCTTCTTCAGGTCATTAGAAGATATAAGATCCTTTTTTTTTTTTTTTTTTGACATACGTATTTAATTTAACGCTTATATGATAAAAGTTTTTGTAACAAATTATTAGCCTGCTGTCTATCACTATATTATAGATATTTTCCAAGATGAACTCAAAGCAATTTTGAGAAAATGTTTCACTATCTAAAAATCTATGGTTCTGGAGAGTTTATTAAATTCACATCTAATTTTGTGTGCTTTCTGTTATATTTTCAAGGAACAACATTAAGGCTAAGTTAAGATAAACTACTGAAATAAAAATGAACATTTAATTATCTACAATTGAAAGTAACATATTAAGTTACTTGATACATTAAGACTCTCTGAAGCCAAGATATTAAAATATAAGAAATGTAACAATAACTTGTGACTAAAAACTAAATTTATTCTTAAATGCAAACTGGCAAATTAAATCATATAGATAGCATGCTCTTTTTAAATTTTCAAAAAGCTCACATCACACATGCTAAAGCAATAAGCAACCATACCTCACACGAAACAAGATATTTATGAAGCAATCAAGCATATTGAAAGCATCCTCAAGTAGAAACAATGGATTGTTGACATAAAAGTCACGTAATAGACTCCTTTCACTAATGGTATGAATATTTTCTTACTATATTTCCTTATTTCTAAGATGCACTTAGAGTTTGAAATCAAATTTTAACATACTGAATTAATAAAATGTCATACACCACATTTAAAGATCTCAGAAACAGAAATCAGTTTCATCTTGTGTTCTATTTAGAAAACCATCCCAAAGAAGACATTTTTTAGTGTCAAAAATGTTTAAAGAAGAAAAATACACAAAATTTCTACCCTGAGTGTTTGTTTTCATCTGTTTATCTCATACCAGAAAACTGATTTCTATTAGCAAGAATTTTATAGTTTTTTTTATAAAGAAAAATTTTTTAAGTAATTTGCTTTATTACTTTAATTAACTACAGACTAAAAAACAATGCAAATGCTTACATAATGCTCAGTGACTGTTTCCATTTTATTCTGATGCACACATTAAAATAAAAAACACTATTTATTTTGAAGCTACACCATGATACCAGCTTGAAGACATTTTAAATGTTAACAAGAGTTTAATGGTAATTATTTACAAGGTGATTAATTTAATCTAACTAATATTAATTATCTCAACAAAATATTGCAGTTTAAAATACAAATCTTTATGGACAACTAATAGTTAATGTCTAAGAATTTACTACGGCATTAACTACAGCAAAATATATCTTTATTCAATATATCAAAATATTTTTTTATAATTAAATTTCTTAGAATACTACAACTCAAAAACTGGATACACTCAAATTAAAACCTCTAAAAAACATTAGCACTTATTAATATCCAGCATAGTTTTTACTCTGCTGGATATTAATAAGTGCTAATGTTTTTGCCCACGTCGAACAGGCACCATCGGGCAATTAAATTTCTTTACACTATATTAGGCATTATTAGCTGTTTTTAATCATTGGATGTATTGTAAATGAAACCACTACATTTGTGAAAATAATGCTCCAATCATAAACAATATTTCCCCACACATATAACACAAAATGGAACTAGATCTCAAATATATATTTTGGAGATATACTTATGTAATTCTCAGTATGTACATCACTAAATATTAATTTTACCTTCCGCAGTTCTTTTAAATTTCAAAGTAGACATCACGTTTGCAATTTACATCTGCAAGGCAGTAAAATAAACTATCGAATTGCCCCGCTACACAGCAACACGAGATAGCGGCTTCCATAGCGCGGGGCACGGGAATCTCTAAATTTCTTAGGAAACCGGGTGGATCACGGGACCGGAACTTAAAAAATAATTTGTTCCACCGACCAAGACAAAGGACTAAAACTTTAAAGTCTTGTAGAAAATCTATAATATACAATTTTAGACTGAGGTATCCTCGTGAATATCTCAATCTAAAATTGTGTATTATAGATGTGGTTGTAATTGTAAATTTATATACTTTATATACAATTTAACATTGTTAAATTATAATATATATAAATGTGTAATTGACATATTTTTGAATAAACACGTGTAAAAATGGAATAGCCTTACATATCTTGGAATGATAACATAATCAATAAGTTCATAATAAGATATGTAACAGTTTTAATTTGATTAATTATTTAAATCCTTAAATTATTAACAAAATTACAATCTTGATTGAAAGATTTTACAATAATTTTTTTGCAATTTGAAATCATTTACTAAATATAAAACAATAAAGTTTATAAATTCTGAAGAAAAAACGAAGAATTAACTCACTTTTTAATAGGTTTTTTTCAAACTTAAAATACGCAAGTTTAATTTTATAAACGAGAAAGGTAAGCTCAACACAAAAATTTATTTTCTTTCGCACATTATAATAAACAATCGATAGTGTTACTTTCCTACAACGAGTATGAATAGATATCAATTTATTTTTAAAAATGTTTATAAAAATAATTGCAATTTGTACATAAATAAAAATATTACACTACATAAATCAAATATGAATATAATAATTTTTTAAATTATTACGCATTCTTTCACTGTATCCGTTTTTTTTAATTTATTGATAATGTTTAAATCGAAACTCTACAATAAATATTTGCTTTACTAGTTTATATATATATATATATTTATTTATTTACTTAAAGTTTATATATGTATACGTATTTTTAATTTTTTAGCTTTATTTATTTATTTATTATGATCTTTCGAAAAAATCGAGAATGCGCCCCTAGTGGTAATTGAAATATAAACTTTTAAAGGAAGTGTGATATACGTTATTTGGCCTGCAATATAAATGTTCGTTAATTGTTTTCGGCAGGTTTTTCTATCAATCATAACATAGTATAGTTATTAAATATATCGTCTTCAGACTAGTACAAAATGTACAGAAATGTCTGCAACGATGCGATCGCATATAACTTATCGAATCTTGCAAAAATACAAAAGTGATAATCTGTCATTATTTGGTCACATAGCTGACGGATTCACGAACTTCTACTGTATTAGATCTAACAGTGCCTTTACTGAACACTGGTAGTTGGTCGTGGGTTCCCATAAAAGTCCCGCCTCTCGGCAGGACTTTTATGAGAAATTGGTCCCAATTCAAGCATTTAGCAGGGTACTAATTAAGATTTTAAATCATTATCAGTTTCATCATTTCTAGATGATTAGATAAATTATTTCGTAGAATGCTTACTTTTTTCTTATCTACGGAAATTAATAAAATTTTTATCAGGAATGTTTCTTATTTAGCGAATGTTAGACGAAAACAAAAGTTTTCATTTTTCAATTTTATATATAATCTTAGTAAAAATAGTGAATAAAATAGTACAAGCAGGCTGTTCGCTCGTTGCACAAATATAGGCCTGCTATCAATTAAATTGGTAAGACAGCCTCTACAAATAGTATTTGAGTGTAAGTATTGATAGTTGTAGGTACCGTACCATCAAACACTAGATAATTTGACGGACCGATGACTGAGCGATTAAAGTACTAGTCTACTGCTCTGGGGGACCCGGGAACAAATCCGGACGGGTTGAAAAAGCCCAATAATTTTCAAGGATGATCTATCCAGAACTTGTCAAATCCAATCCCTCACCACCCGGTCCCTCCCTCAGGCGTACAAATAGCCGAGCGGTCAAGACGGCAACCTACCGCTCTAGGAAACCGGAAATCGAATCCGAACGGGTTGAAAAAGCCCCAGAAATTTTTCAGATAGTGCCGTCCGGATATGTTGGACCCCCGTCCCTCACCATCTGGCCGCCCTGTTGTGGGTCAGGTCGAATCCATAACGAGATTGCTAACAGAGGCCCTCTTAGAGTCTACAAGGAGGAAAGAGTTAAGAAGAAACAAAAACCCGGCCGTTCCTAATGTGGATCTAGCAGAACCCATAATGGACCTTGTTAGCGTTCGCAGCAAAGAAAGAGTAAAAAAATAAAGAAATTTTTAGCGATAATTTTTAATCGTACAAATAATTTTAAGAATTTATAAATAAAATATAATATTTTTTTCCCTTGTTCTCTTTTTTTAGTAAATAATTCAGACACTAGGCGGCGTACCATTCGACAAGTCTCGAACTCAGATTCAGTTAAGAAGTTACAATGGTTATATGTTATGTTGTTATTGTTCTCACGATGGAAGTAAATACATGAAGTATTTAAAATTTTATAGAATAGATTCAATAAAAACCATTACACCGATTATACCGTTTGTATTTTTTGTCTAACCAACGACTATATAACCTGTATGTCTTCCATACCGGTGTTAACTGATTATTTGAACGTTAGGGTTAACATTCTCTACGTAAATCAGGAAGATGGCGGAACAACAGAAAAGTTTATCCAGAAGTCAAGGTAAACATGAGTTTGTATGAATTCTTTGATGAATACTTCTTACATTAAGCGTTGTTTTCATATTTTATAACAGCCCTAGATAAAAAAAAAAATAGAAATTCAGGATCAAGTATATTTAAAATTTACTAATTGAAGACAGTACAAGTAAAAATTTGATGTCTTTACACATCTTTCACAATCACAGGGACATAATTAACACAAGAGTATCAAACGAAATGTCCTTTTCCCTTGATGCTCTTGTGTTATAAGAATCCGGCACCAGAGGGATTTTTGATCAACATAAATATTTGTAAGCAGAGAAGAACCCCAAAGGAAAGGTCGACTTTGTGTTAATTGTGTTCCTGTGGTTGTGAAGAATGTGCGAAAGCATCAAACTTAGTCCTCAATTTGTAATAATTTAAAACTCAAGATACTTTTAAAATACTCTAATCATGATATATTAAAAATGAAAGTAGATATTTAGTCAATTTATTAATAAATTGATGTGTATTTTAATACATTATATTATATGAATCTTGTTACATTAAAAAATTATATTTATTTGTTTGTTAATTTTTTATTTACAAAATTTTTAAAAAGGCAACGTACCCTAAAATAGGCTGGCTGTACTATTTATGATCCAACTGGGGAAACATTTTAGAATCGGTGAAAATAGTGACTAAAACTGATTGAATTTTGGTTATTTTTAAAAATTTATTTATTGATCTATAAATTGGTGTGTCAAATAAAATTGCTCCATTCAATGATTGATTCTACAATCAAATATTAAAAATAGGAAAAACGGGACAGTCCCGGAAATTGGGGACGTCTGGCCACCCTACCTAAAAGGACAAGATATGTGAATGTATACATATACCCCTACAAATATATTTAATATTATATTAAATATATTTGTACAAATTTTATGGATATTAAGTATAATAATCATATAATTTTTAATGTTTTAAAGAAATTATAAAGGTAAATTTAGAAAGGAAATTTTATGAATGTCAGTTTTTTTCTTCTGTCAGATTTTATCTTCAATGTTTACCAAGTTTGTTTGTTTGTGTGAATTTTTAACCTTGGAATGCCTGCATATTTTGCACTATATTTGACACATTGAAATTTATTTGGACAGGATACAAAAATGCTGAATATATATATAAAAAAAAATTCTAAATTATATGACAGACTTGAATATAGATTTAAAAAAATTAATTTACTATATATATAAAATCATGTTAAGTAGAATATATTGAAATTTTGTGTTCTGTTTGTGCAAATGATTTTATCATTAAAAATGAAAATGTGTGAATTGTTTTAAAATTTGATTTAATTAATTAATAATGACTGGATTGTATATTTGATAATTTAATTTTTTTATGATGTATAATTTGGTACAGATTATTAATTACTATTATTAATTAAAATTAGCTGGTTATAAAATCTTGGATGGTATGTATTACATTTAATTTTTGTAGTGAAATGCTAGTTAACAATAATTTTTTTTATTTAAAACATTTATAAAATAGTTTTCAAATAATAAAACTTATGGTTTTTTTAGACTATGTAGGAAGTTTTCAATCTAATGCAATTAAAGTAATATATGTTTCAGTTTTATTTTTGCAACATTGACTCAAAGGAAGTTATTTCTCCTTTGGTCAGATTAAGAATTTTTAATATATCATATACTTTGAGGAAAACACTTCTGATTACATTCTCCTATAATTTGTTTTTTCTTATTTTTATATATTTGTATTAAGTATGCTTCATATACAATGTATTAACTTTTGCTCCTTCTAACATGAAAGCCAAATTGTGTAAATTTAAGAAATTTCACATTTTATTATAAAAATATTTATTAGCATTGATTGTATAACCTTAATATTAAATGTTCTGAAAATTTAATTATTAAATGAAAATTTGTTTAAATTATTTTAATCTCGTGAATTAAAGTTTGAGAAAGATTTTTGATTTTTGTAAAAGTATTGATTAGTAATGTAATAATTTATATTTTAGTATTTTAGATTAGTTTGAGATAAAATATCTTAATCCTAATAATCGTCCTTCTATATATCCCTTTTAACTTGATTCTTATACTGATATATTGGGTGTATAAATATGACTTTGCCATTAGTAGTACTGTTTGCATGCAACTGATTCTGGCAACACTTGTATTTGAAAGATTTGACAGCATTCTTCAAAAATAAATCCGAGACATCTGTTTAAAGTGTAAACAATAATTATTTTTATTTGATTAAAAATGTAGAGTTTTGTGCTAGGAAAACAGCATTTGCAGGAAGTCTTGCTTCATTATTTTATTTCAAAGAAAACTGCAGCAGAAACATATCATTTGCTGTTGGAAGTTTACAGTGAACATGCTCCATCCAATACAACATGCAAATAGTGGTTTTGACAGTTTAAAAATAATGATTTTGATACACATGACAAAGAGCATGGAAAACCACTAAAAAAATTCCAAGATGAAGAATTGGAAACATTACTTGACGACGATCCTTGCCAAACATAATTGGAACTGGCTTCCTCTTTAAATGTTTCTCAACCATGTATTTCCCAATGTCTACGTGCAATGGGAATGATTCAAAAGCAAGGAAATTGGGTCCCATATGAACTGAAAGAAAGAGACATTGAACGTTGAAAAATCATATGTGAATTATTGTTCCAAAGACAAAAAAGAAAAGGTTTTTTTGCACCAAATTGTTACTGGAGACAAAAAATGGATACACTTCGACAATCCTAAACGACCAAAGGCATGGGTGCATCCAGGTGACTCAGGTCCATCAATGTCGAAACAGAATGCTCATGGAAGTAAAATTATGTTGTGTATCTGGTGGGACCAAAAGGGTGTCATGTACTATGAGCTGTTGCAACCAAGTTAGACAATCGATGCTGAACATTACAAACAACAGTTAATCAAATTGAACAAAGCATTGAAGCAAAAATATCAAGAATATGCCAAAAGACATGACAAGGTTGTCTTCCAACATGACAATTCTCGCCCACATGTTGGAAGATCAGTCAAGGAAACTCTAGAAGAACTTTGCTGGGATGTATTGCCCCACCCGCCATATTCTCCAGATGTCGCTCCTTCAGATTACTATTTGTTTTGATCCATGTAGAGCGACTTTTCAGGAAAGCAGTTCAGATCTTATAAGGCTATTCAAAATTGGGTTGATAACTGGATTGCTTCAAAACAACCAGACTTCTTCCTTCGTGGAATCCGTTTGTTGCCTGACAGATGGACAAATGTTGTAACTTCTGATGGAAAATATTTTTAATAAATTTTTCTTTCATTTTAAAAACAAACAAATGTCTTACATTTACCAAAAAAAGGGTGGAGCCATATGTATACACCCAATAAACAGAAATCATTTTGTAAAATTTTATGTTTTAGAAGTGAGTAAACTAGGATAAAATGAAGAGTTGTATGGTGTATTTCCAAAATATTAGGACAAACTTGAGGGATGATTCTTTACAGGAAAATAAAGAAATATAAACATATGTCTAGAAATGGGTGGTTTTTAAAGAATCAAACCTCTTATGACAGATCAGGTGTAAGATAAATTTTATTATATATTCTCTTATTAACTCTGACATAACTCTTGGCTACATAGCTGTCTTCATAAAAAAAAATATGTTCAAAATACTGTCTGTGCATCTCTGCAAGTGCAGAGACATAAGAATGTGGACTGCTGCAATCTTCCAAAGATTCAGGCCTCCTGCAAATGGTGCCGGTGTCAAAAATGCATTGCACTTTGCCAATAGGAACATAGGAACAGCATACACTAGTGTCTTTAGGTGGCCTCATAGATAAAAATCTAAAGGATTCAGACTAGGAAACATGGAGGCCACACCACCAGACTTGGTCTGCCTATCCATCTCTGTGGATTTGTAACCTATAGTGTAGTATAGTTTGCAAATGTTAGTTAAAGTGAGCTCCAGCTCATTTTAGTCAAGAATTATGTAAGAGAGTTAATAGTAGTTATGTAATAAAAATCTGTCTTGCACCTAACACTGTCATAAGAGGATAAGAGGTTTGATTGCTCAAAAACAGCTCATTTTTGGACTTACATTTATATGCCATGTTTTCTTACTTTTTTTTGATGAATCATTTCCCAAAGTTCGTTCAACTGTTTTGAAACACTGTATAGACTGTACTGACAATACTGAACAGTTTCTGTCACTGATTGTTTGTTTTCAATAATTTAGATTTTAAAAAAAGCAGAATGTGTGGATAGAAATATACAAATCAAAGAAAATAATTAACTGGTATAGTAGAGTATTGATGATTCAAAAAATTGATTAACTGAAATTAACTTCAGAGAATACTAATTCCAGAAATTACAATGTTTTTACACAATAATGATTATTGCCAATCTGCATGTCTGCTATTGAGCTATATTCTTATCAACACTCTATTTATTGAATCTTTTATTCTAAGGTCACGTGATAACATCCCAGACTATTTTGGTAACAGTTCGTCCCTGGTTGGAGTTGGAGTCAGATGGTAAGGCAAAGTCGGAGTTGGTAGATTTTTACACGACTCCACAGCCCTGGTTTAAACTGCTAAATACACACTGGATGTTGTTAAAAATTCCTATGTGCAGCTTGCAAAACTTAAGAGTGTTCTGTATATGCTGTGGTAGTTTTCTAGTGTGAATTCTTAAAAAATGTTTTTATGATGGTGTAGGGCACAACTGTAGTATAGAGTAAATAATATGTGAGTGGGTACATTCTTCCTGAATTTTCTCTTCTGAACTCTCCATTTTACACAGATCACAGAACTAGACGTCAATTGGAATGATAACCAAAAGGCCTTATAGCATTATCTTTAAACTGTGTATGCAAAAGAATACTGGAGTTCTTTTGTATACACAGTGGCAGTGTGGAAATTCAAAGTTCATTTGAAGTGAATTTGTGAGTGAAGGATAAAAAGTGATGCTTTTAAGGCTATCAAGAATAAGAGTGGAGCAGAGGTTGGTAGGAGAAGGGCACAAGTGTGAGGTTCCAGACTAGTTGCAAACCCATAAAACATGTAAAAATTAAAAGAATGTGAAAGTAACAGATTAATAATGAAAGAGCATGTAGAATAAACAGCATCATAATGTTTATCACTTTATATTATTTATATCACTTTATTTTAATTCTTTTGGGTAATACATATATATATTACCCAAAAGAATTAAAATAAAGTGATATAAATTGTGAGCGTGAGACAAGTGCAGACAACGAGAAGTTACAGATGTTCACATGGGAGAATGAACCCCACATGGACAGTCATAAATACGACGAACAGGTAAAATAGAATGAACTTTAGATTAATAAATTTTAGATTTATAGAGAGAGGAGAGGATCATAATGTCACCATTAGGATATAATAACAAAAACAAATACACTGAGTTCAGCGTTATGTGCGTTTTTTTTTTATCGCTAGCACTTTCAACGAACTTATTGTCGTCGTCCTCAGGTGAATACAGACACAGTGGAACCTCGGTATACGACCTTAATCCGTTCCTGATTGTTGGACTTATACTGAATAGGACGTATACCGAATCAATCTTTCCCATAAGAAGTAATGTAAAAATGATTAATTTGTTCTCATGTAAAAAAAATGGCTGGCTTGAAACACCTCGCTTTCCTCGCTAGTTCCTGCTTGATTTTCCATGAGATCAGCATGTATTTTTGTAGCTTTCTCGCAAATAATTGCTTCTGATACGGTGTCTCTAGCACACTGTTTTTCAGTTATCCAAAGCAAAAGCAATTTCTCGACATGATTTAATGTCTTCGATCTCTGTTTAGAAATTGATTTAACCCCTTTCGCAACGTTAGCAGATTTAATAATGCCTTTATTTTTCACGATTGTCAATATCGTCGTTCTCGGAATACGGTATGCAACAGTTAAATCTCGAACACACGTGCCACCTTCATATTTCTCAACAATCTCTTTTTTCAGTTGTGAATCTAGTCATTTTTTTAGTTTTCTGTTGCTTTTCATTTGCCTTCTAATTGCAAGAAGGCAAGGAATACTTCAAATTGCAATTCATGATTAATAATAAAATTTTACTTAGAAATTAAAATCAGAAGAAATCTAACAAAGTTATAAACTGTGGCACCGCGAACGTCTAGTCTGGTCTAGTACACCGACAGTTGTTCATAGATGGCACG